ATGATAAGGTTAATGTTTTAATCTTTTACATGCAGTACTGTATAAGTTTTTACTTATTAAAATATTTACAGTTATCGTTTGTTACGTGTTTTTTTTATCGGTACAACCTATCTCGGTGTTAACCGAGTTTTTTCCGCACCCGAGGTAGTCACGGTTCCAATTACCTTGGATAATCGCTAGGGTACTGTAAAACTATTTTGTAGGTTTCTTTAAGATCAATAAGATCGTTAAAAGGATTTTTTTTAAACCCTTATTGTTAAAAGGGTTGTAGTTAAAATGGACCAAACGAGTCACTATCCATGCTTTAAACAGCAATAATCTTAATCAAGTTTTGTCTTACAGAAAAACCAAAGAAACAAGTTTTTAATGCTTTTTAAGCACATTGAAAAAAAGAGATTTTTTAAAAATTTCAAAAAATTTTATGTTATTTTAAAAACAATTTTTTAATAAAAATAAGCACTTTGAACTGGTTAAACTTACAGATCATATAGATAATACATAAATAAAGTACATTGTTTATATTACAATTCTGTGGCTAAAGGACTAGTTCCAAGCCAATTCACCAAACACACACATACACACAAGTAAATTGTAAAGCGGTTACGATTAATTTTATTTAGGGTGCTAATTAGGGGTTTATTTTTACGATGTGTTTACCAAAAAATTTATTTGTAGGTAGGTGTAAGTGTAACTAGGTAAGTGTAACTTACCTAGTTCAATTACTAAAAACTTAAAATAAAAAAATAAAGCTGTTTTTAAAGACCTTGAAAAAATTTAAATGAGATTTCCCCGAAGACAACTTCATTTTTTGCTTATTTCACGTTAAAATATTCGATTTGGAATTTGATAAATAAGAACCTACTTTTGATGAAGTACAACTCTGCTTCTACTACGTCTATGTCTACGTCTACGTCAACAGATTTCATAAGTATACCATTTTTTTGTTTGTTATAGCTAAATTTTTGATAAGAATATTGTCTGGATAAATACTTACTTTTTGAGTTATTTGTTAAAAAAAACGTCTGAAAACGTGGCTTTTATTTTGAAAATTAACATTTTTACTTGCAATTAACTTAAAAAGTATTGACTCAAAACTCTTGACTCTTAAAAGATGTCTGCAAAATAACAGTCCATTAATTTATCTATTTCTGGGCTTATTTTAAACGTATATTTTCCACCCCCAAGAACGGGTGAATTTCACCCTCAACTAAAAGCAACTATTGGCACGGGTCCAAAAGTGAAGTAGAGATTAAGAGAAACCTCAACCCCAATTTTTAAGCGAATCCGTGATTTACTGGAGTAATATAGTTATATTATATTATTTTTTATATTTTATAAACACACAATTTTATTTTTTTATTGTTCTTTAGCCAAATTCCTTAAAAAATATAGGTTACAAAATTTAGTTAAAGGTATTTAAAAAATAAATTCAAACAGGAAAGAGAAATAGGAAATTTTAAATAAAATTCAAGGTAATAAATACTCATATAGTATTTATTTCTAAGTCTTCTTATAATTCGAATTACATCAATTATACGTATTTTATGGTAATGTCGGCAACAATTACTATGTTTATTATAAGGTATACATGCCATTGGAATTAATAATATATAAACCAAATATGCGAGCGCCAAAGGTACTTAAATATATTCACATAAACACACTGAGAAAATCAACTTCCTTGAAAAATTAAACAATAAATAAAAAATAGATACCTAATTGTAACTGGTGTTGCAGTAATTATTAGCTTTGAAATATATGTTTGAAGCACTACTTAAAAGTATGTTTGACAAATATTTCTTTAGCACGTACATATTATTTTAATTGCCCAATACATGATTAAAAAATAAAAAATCAAAGTTCCACTAATACCTACATAAAATAATTACATAGAGTATTCTGTCATTCCCATAGACATATAATACAAACAGCTACAATACAGTCTCGCTCTCCAAGTGCGACAGAGAAAACTAACGTAAAGCAGTCCCTGTATCTCTGTCTAATTTGCTAGGTTAATCGACCACGTGACATAAACGATTAATGAGTAGGTTACTTGGTCGATAAACCTGACCTGTTAGGTCGTGCCTCAGTTTTCTCTGCCGCACTGGGGGAACGCGACTGTATGACAGCTGTCAGTCTATTTGTATTATATGTCTATGGTTATTACTGGCATACCTAACCTAAAAATCTAATACTAACAATATTTTACAATTTAATAAGAGAATATAAACATTTATTTGGGATAACTCTCAAGAGCTAGTCAAAATAAGACAACATCAAACAGGAAGGATTTGATTTTCACGGAAAAATACCGGATATGTAATATTAATAAGGGAGACTAAGAATGAAGAATAAGCTACTTCAACATAATTGGGAATTAATTTCTGTGCGTTGGATAAAAGTAGTGAAATGTAAAATAAATATACAATACACATAAGCATAACTATCGAAAAACAAACAAAATAATCTTTTCCACATATACCCGAAGACAAAAACTAAAAATATGACTATTTCTGAAAACAGAAACGTAAAAACAACACCATAGAAACTAAAATTTTATACTACCTATATATAAAATGTTGTATAGAGTTGGAATTTCCAGTTGCCTTTAGCGCTGCACCAATTATAAAAAATATTGTAATGTATAGTATATTAAGTAGGTAGGTACTGTTAATTTACACAATTTTAAAAAACTTTAGGAAGAATGAAACCAAAAATAATATCTTCGTTAGTTCATATAAGTTCAATAAAAGTGGATATATTTTATAGGGAAACAAAGTATAAAGAATTTTTATCGTCTAAATGGAATTGAATGACCCTTTCAAAATATGCTATAACGCAAACAATGTGAATTTAGGTTTCAAAACAATTTTGAAACTAGAAAAGCTTTTAAAGAACAAATGGACATTAAAAAAAAACATATAAAAAATGATTATAATTTTCTCTAAGAATAAATGGATAATGTGCTTTAACAAGTAAATATCATTAATTAGTTTTAAGCAAACTCAATGCTCAATTAACTATATGATTAGGCTGTACATTATATCCCAGAAGGGATTTTTATACGATTTGTTCAAGTGAGTCTAAAATTAGATTTTTGTAAAAATATCTTAGAAAGTTAATTATAACTATAATTGAAATATACTGCAACTGAAGAAAAAACAGCCTAAAAAACCTCAAAACATATTTTTGAAAAAAAAATGTCGTTACATACTCTAAAACCTTTCATATATCCTGAATATCTTGGAAAGTATGATATTTACGAGAAAAATGTTCAAAATGAAAAATATTGTAAAATAAGTTTTGGAAATTTGCTCATATAAAATTCTTTACAGTTTCTGAAAATCCGTTCTAAAAAACTTAAAATTCAATGTTATACAACAATTTTATTTAGATTTATTATTAAGAGAGTAGCTGCTGCATTAAAAATATCACAGGTATCAAAAATGGCAGTGTGGGCAGTATATGACATGCACCAACAAAGTAACTACCATTTTTTTAAATCTGAATTTGATAATACCAGAAGGTACTATTTAATCAATACTTTATATTATTATAAATGTATATTTAAAAAAAAGATTGATGAAAGTAGTTTAGGAAATATGTGTTGAGTACATTCATTGATATTATATGAATTTTAAAAATTATTTTTTTTTAATTAGAAATGTATTTCGTTTTCTTAAAGCATAAACATAAGCACATTTTTAAAGTATTATCTAACTTTTAAATTTGTTAGAATCATTTCTACCTAGAAAACATTTATTTAATAAAAAAATTTAGTTGCGAGAAATTTTACCTCGATCCCTTTTTGTCGTACATAACATACCTTCTAGGATTTTCAGGATAACACTTTGAAAGTTCGTTTCGTTCGTTCGTTCGTTTTGTTAAAATTTTTCTTCGACTTTATTTTCATACTGATACCAAGTGAATTATTATAGAAATTAAGATTGGATAAGGCAATGAAGAAGTAAAAAGCCCAAAACCTACCAAAATGTTTTGCAGTTGGATGAATCTCAATTAAACTTGTTGCATTCGATTCACAAGAGCATCAAGAAATTTTGTAAACTAAAGTGATCATGTGGTATTAAATAAGAAAAATGTATCTTCCAAAGTGCAAAGTGATAAAAAATGGTAAACTTGTATTTCGAAAATAATTGGCGGAAATAAGTCCAATATTATTACTCGGGGGGTTTAGGGGTCGCTGAACACGAATATAGTGTCTGCGATGGATTTTGTATCAAATTTTCACAAAACTCCATGAAACCAGGCACATCTTGGGCTCTGGTTCCTCGGAGAGAATAATACTAAATTTATTTCCATCATATATTTGTGAATTACAAATTCATCATTTTATCATTTCGAAACGTACTTTGGAAAATACATTTTGCTTGTTCAATAATACCATTGTCATTCCCACATTACTACTCTGATTTACAAAATTTCCTGACGCCCTTTCAAATCGAATGTAACAAGTTTCATTGAGATCTAACCAACTGTAATAAATTGGTAGGTTTATTGCTTCAATACCTTGCCTAGATATCCTGTTAATCACACATAGTTTATCTTCAAATCAAAAGATATATAAAGTGACGAAAAGAAATTCCTGTTATTTTAAAATAGGGATTTTGTTTCAGTAAAAAATAAGACGTTAGATTAAAGAAATTATATGCATATTGACATAAGAACAATAACTATGTATGGACTAAAAGTAGAAAAAGTAATATCTTCTGATTTAATGGCCAAAACATAATGTACTTAGAAGACCTGAATACAACAGATAAAACTATATAGCAGGAAGATATTCAGGTTTAGAAACTATGTAAAAGAAACTAAGAAAGATAACGGGCTAAATTAAAAGATTAAATTTATAATATCATAGTAATGTTATTTTGCATGCAGAATAAATACTAGCTCCCGTTCAAGGAATATAATATAAATGGTTTCTTCTTCCTAAGATTTTTTTAAATATTTTCAGATGTTCATGAAGCTATCCTGCTTACCCTAATAATATCGAATAAGAAGTTTCCAGACCCTCCGGAGCTAGAACCTCCTCCAAAGGGCAGGAACCTCTTATTCCGATCTTGATCATCTTCGATTTCAGAAAGATCTTCAGCAGGTTGTGGTACTGATTCTGCCGGCGCTTGATCCGCAGCTGCTTCTCTGGTTTTCCTCGCACTCCTTCGGGCGATCAAGTTGCTCTCGTCAGCGGCGGACTGTAAAGGAAACGTATATTAGAAAGATGCTATTACTTACATTAATCAAAGTTTAAAATGATATTTGACATGTTAACACAAAAACATAAATACCTAACACAAAGAAGCAAAGATGTAATTGATAAAGACTGATTTATTTAATGTTTTACATGCACTGTTTAAATAAAAAATTGGTGTAAAGTAAAATATAACATAATCCAAAAATGAGGAATATTAGGGTTTTTAGTAAATTTCTGCTACCATTTTCTTCTTTTACTTTTTAAAACTTTAACAGAAAATATCCCAAAAATTAGGTATTTTTCCTAATGTCCCTTATTTCAACCGCTTTCTTTATATAAATAAGAAAATAGCAAATGTTAAAAAATTATTATAATATAATCATAAACATAATTAATATCATCACGCAGTCTTCTGCGTCCAAAGTTTGACACAGTCCCCTATTTGCTTTCAGTTCTATCAATATTGAGCCAATTCCTAGTGTTTATTTTGATGTCTGTCCATCCTGTAGATGGCCTACCTTTGCTTTTTCTCTCTGCTCGTGGTTTCCACACTATAATTTTTTGGATGGTATGCCAGTCATTTATTCTGGCCAAATGATATGCCTATTTCCACTTTAGACATTCTATGCACTCTATGCACTATGAAATCTGTGACACCTGTCCTTCTTCTTATTTCTTCATTTTTAACCATGTCTCTGAGTTAGTCGAAGTAGCGAGCGTTCCACTATTATTTGGGCTACTTTGAGTTTAGTTCCTATAGTCTGGGTTAAGCAACGTGTTTCGGCGCCGTAAGTCATAACTGGAAACATACATTGGTCGGAAATCTTATTTTTCAAATAATTTGGCATGATGCTCTTGAAGATATCTGCTAGAGCTCCATATACGGCCCAAGCTAAAGTGATTCTTCTTTGCAGTTCTAAAGTTTGGTTGTCTCTGACAATTTAAATTTCATGACCCAAGTATAAGCCCGAACTTATCCTATGTCGTTGCAGTTAACTTTTGGGATTTTTGCTTGGACCAGATTTGTCATGTATTGTGCCTTTACAAAATTTATGTTTAAACCAAATTCCTTACAGCCGGCATCTAACTCAATAATCGTAGTTCCAATATCTCTCAGGGTTATCTGTTATCAGAACAATGTTGTACGCACATCGTAGGTGGAAGAGTATGTTGTACCAGAACTGCCGTAAAGAGTTTGGGAGAAAATGTGTCTCTTCGTCTGATTCCTCTTTTGATTTTTATACAGTTCATCACCGATTTTAAGCTTGTAGTCGTATCTGTGATGTTGACTGCCAGCCCTTTGGCAACCGTAAATAAGTATTAGATCAAATCTTTCGTTTTTTCTAGAAGGAAGAAGGTTACCCAGGACTATATCGACAATATAATGTCGAACTATAGGAAACTCTCGTTAATCATCATGCAACCTCTTATGTCCACTGCTGGACATAGATCTCTTTCATTTTTCGCCAATCATCAAGTTTCTGTGCGTCTTGTTGTCATTTCTTGGATATTCATTTTATGTTGTCCATCCAGCTTGTGACCTCTATATTAGAACAACTTAAAGTAAAGGATAGACTGCTTAAACAAATACAACAGAGATATTTGCAGTATTTTGGACACATTGCTAGAAGAACAGGCACGATGGAAAAACTGATCGTCGAGGGTAGAATTGAAGGAAAAAAACCTAGGGGAAGATCTCCAAGCCGTTGGGTAGATCAAACGAAAATATTGATTAACCCAGGGTTACATGAAGCCGAACAACTAGCCTAGGACAGAGAAGGATGGAGAGAAATCGTAAAAAAACTGTGAATGCCTGGTGGTGTCACCACATCCCAAAAGGGATTAGGACTAAAGAGGAACAGGACCTGACCTGCTCAATTCCATTTCAGCTTGTCTATACATTCGACGACATCAGTGATACATGTTCTTTTCCTTAGGTTTTGGTTCCTTATTTTGTCTTTTTTTGTCACGCCGAGAACCAATCTTTCCATGCGCCTTTGTGCCACTCGCATTTTTATTGCTGTTTTTGTGAGAGTGAGAGTTTCTGCTCTGTATTTCATAATAGGATTAACGCATTAGTCAAATGTCTTTCGTTTCATAGCTGTCAGGATGCTTCATGATTTCATGACCGAGATGTATGTACTTTTCTGTCAATTCTACCACTTGATTTTGGATAGTTAGATGTTCGCACTACTCTACACACACAAACACACACACACTACATTAATAAACTTATCTTGATTGAGACTGGCTGAATAACAATTGACCAAGCCAAAACACACAAAAAAAAAAAATTAAAACAATCGTTTGCGCGTCTTACATTTTAACGTTACTTAAAAGATTGCGTTCTCCTAGCGCAACTAAGAAAACTGATGCAAAGCAGTCCATGCTTCTCTTTTTTATAGACCGGGTGTTTATCAACCACATAAACTAAATAAACAGAGAAAAGATCACGTGGTTGATAAACCTGGTTTATTAGAAAGATATGTAGGTATTTTAGAAACCAAAACAATTTGGCAATGTGGACCTTAGATTCTGATTCAGTCCACAAAAAACCTTTCAAAAAGTATATTTTGACTTCTAGGTCCCAAAATTGGTCAAATTGTACCAGGCTGTGTAACAGAGGCTCAATCCTTTTGGTTTGGTAATAATATACATAATATAAAATTATAAAATTGAAACTCACAGGTGTGAGAAAAATAAAATATTAGTCGGGTAATTTTGCGATTCTGCCGCGAGATTGTATATTTTTCAATAGGATTTCTCAAGAGTATAATCCTTTAACCTTCTATATGCATTAGTAACAAAACCACATCCTCTTGTACCCGACATTAATAATTTTATTCGGGCTAGTACTATCTTTGTTAAAACAAACATTTAAAAGTCCCTAAATACGAAAATGAATGTACATATACAGAGATAGGTTAACAACATAAACACTGTCGAGTTCCTTAATAAACAATAGAAGAATAATTATATAAATATGTGATTTTTCATGGATATGTGATCGATTTTGTAATAAAGTAATGAAATAAAATTGCTACGATAATAATACACTTATGTTCTCACTGTAATAACAGCATTTTCCGTTTCCTTTTTAGCCGTGGTACTTTCTACAAGAGGTGCTGATTCGCTAGTTACTCCAGATCTATTATCGATTGCTTCTGCAGGTTTATCACTATCTTCATCATCATCATAATCATCTTCATCTGGTGGGAAGGTGGGAAGGACTACATTTACTGAATTTGCAGCACCTCCGCCTCTGCCGCCTCCTAAACCTCCTCCTTGTAGAATGGCTCTACCGAATACTCTAAACGCTGTACTGGTTACGTTTTGAATGACATTGTCTAATATCTAAAAAGGATATATTTATTAAGCTATGCTTTTAAAAAATTAATATATTATCTGTGTGCACTTTATGTTACTGAGGAAAAAGTCAGTCATTTTATTTATTATATAGAGGAAAAGAAAAGACCGTGATGCATATTGAAAAATAGAGCCAGATGCGTTTTTTCTTAATTTGGGGTTATTCAAAAACAATAGGAATATAATTATGACATACAAGTCCATGTCAATCTATCGTATATTTGGGTATTATAGGCCCGACTTGAATGAATTTTAAAGGCATTTGTTAAATGCCTTTATTTTTTTAACACATTACTGTATGCTTTTTGTCGTTTTTAATACGTCCCAGTACCTTATCTATACATAATGATTATAAGTACTACGAAAGGTTGCTTTTTATATTCCTGGCCTAACAATGAAAAAATAAGTATTTATGGGGAGAAATGGCTTTAATGCTTTTCAAAATATTCTCCATGAAAACCAACATACTTTTGCTTGAGTTTGAACTAATTTTCGAATCACTTTTTCCACTCAAATTGATGTAACTTGAATTTTTAACCCTTCAACCGTTTCTTCGGACTTCGAAAATCGCTGCCAACGTAATTTATTTTTGAAAGTCATTGGATGCCAAATCAGGACTGTGCGGTAAATGACTAATTCGATGTTTTGGGTGATCAAAAACTGCGTTATGTTTGCTGATGTGTGTGAGCATTGTCGTATTGAAGAATAATTCGTCTGTTCTTATTTTTTTTCTGAGTTTCACTTATAACTTCTGGCCAATAAATAATTCTATAAAATTCAGCATTGACCGTCATACGTTCTGGTAACAGCACTGTAGCTATATGGCTATTTATACCAAAGAAACAAACGACCATTTGTTTCGATATGCTGCTTCCACAAACAAATTTTGTTGTCAATGATTCGTCACTTGTGTTTTTTTTTTTAACTTTTTTAACTTTAACATGTCGTTGCACTAATTGAACGAACCTCTTTTTGACCCTTTATCAGTTTATGTGGGATCCACGTGAACAAATCTTTTTCACAGCCAAATGACCATAACATATTTTATTAAAGCTTGCCATACTCATGTCCAAGAATGCTTCAATCTCACTGTATGTCACATGACGATCCTGTTGTCAGTTAACGCACAGCATCAAAGGTTCCTGGTAAAACAGCCGATTTTGGATGACCTTTACGAAATTCTCTTGGGAATCAAACGCAGACCACGACTGAATTCATTGCACCAGTTTTCTACGCTACCAAAGGATGGTGCTTGATCCCATTTATTTAAGTTCACCGATGCACTCTTACCTTGATGACCTTTTAGGCCTCGTAAGCAACACAAATATTGCTCATACGTCAAAATGTTCTGAGTGTTCATTTGCTTCAAAATGTCAAACTTTCCAGTGCAAGTGTCAGATATCAGTTGTCAGTACTTGGTGTTGACTAGGTCAGAAATATAAATAGTAGCCTCGTATGAGTACCGTATGAGTAATATTTTATTTCTCGGTAAAATGTTTTATTTTATTTTTAAACTCATTAACCCAAAGTAATTATGAGCAATATTTTATTTCTCACTAAAATGTTTTGTTTTATTTTTAAACTCATTAACCCTAAGTAAATGTATTGTTTAAGACTTTCTTCTTCTTTTTCTATTATTTCTAGATATTACACGTGTTACTTGATATTGAATATTTAGATGTTGAAATATTATTATTCTACTTATTTTTTAATCGATTTATGTTTATCTTTCAATTCATAATTTGTCTTGGGGTATTTTAACTATTCTTCCTTTGCAGTTTTATATACTACTTTATAGAAATAAGTATAGTTTAACTGTATTGGTGACATCTCAATAGCCAGGTATTTGATGAATTTTTTTATTAATATACACCTGTATTAAGAAAACCTATAAGTTTTCTGCAGACATTTCAGTGTTGTTATTGTAAAAACTTCTTCACACTTTTGTAATTGGTCTTAACGAAGGGTCTTATTATGTTTAAACCTTCAATATTTCAGCTCGACTCATTAATTAGTTTTAAAGGTATTTATTCCAGAGGTAATTTTTTTGTACATTATACAAGAAATAAAATAATTAAGATACATTAATTCTACAGGTACAGTATGAAAGGTTAAGACTTTTACTTGTGTTCGTCTTAAAGTTCCATCTTCTGCCGAAGATTGGAAATTATCATGGCTATGTGGACCTTGTTGACTGCCGGTCTAAATAGTTCTCCGCATTCATACTTCATACTTATTCATTATCCCACATTCCGCTTTCCTCGAATTTTGCCTTGCACAATAAGCTGCAATAATGAGTATCTTTACCCTCTCATAACATTGCTTAAGTACTTAAGATTTCTGCACTTGATAGTGAATATTATTTCAGCTTCATTTACTATTCTTCTAGTAACTTCTGCGTTTGACATTTTTTGAATCCATGATATTCGTAGGATTCTTCTGTAACACCAAAATTCAAAATCGACCAACTTATTTAGATGCATATAATACCGAGGCATTCCTAGGCTTAGTCCTAACCTTATATCCCGACAATAATAAAACATTTTAAGTTTAACGAAGAATGCAAGTTTTGTGTCAATAAGTATCTTAATTTCTTTGGCTCGGTCTACATTTGATGTTATCCATGTTTTTAAGTATTTGTTGTTATCCACAGTCTTAATTAAAATATCGTCAACAATCAATTGGATGTTTGCATCTGCACAGTTTTTTCAAATTCATCTTCAGTCCGTATTTATGACAGCATTCATTGTCGTTGCATTATGTTCTGTAAATCATTTTTGTTATCCGTCAATGTTACTGTATCTTTTGCAAAACTCAAGTTATTTTAAACTTCTCCATTGATAGATCTACCTCCTATTGAGTCTGGGAGAGCTTCTTTAAATAGCGCTTCACTGTGGACATTTAAAAGTAGTGGTGACAGCACGTATCCCTGACGGACTCCTCTCCGTATTTTCAATTCTCAAAATACGGAGAGGACTTGTACTTGTACTTGAGGAGTGTGTACTTTTAGCATAAACCAAAAAAAATCATTTCTATAACCAAAAATTGTTTTTTAAAGGTACTGTTATTTATAACTTATAAACAATAAGAATAACTTTTTAACTATTGCTCAAAGACAAAATATTTTTGAATACTTGACAAAGTGGCAATTTTTAAATGACTTTTAAAGAAAGAAAAAGTTATTCTAGGACTCTTAAGTAAGCAGTAATTTTTTAATTAGCAGCTAAATTGTTTATAATTAAGATGAATTCAGGAAAGTAATTAGTCTCATTTAATTACTTAAAGTTTTACTACAGAAAATTAATTAGACTACTTACAAAAAAAAATTAAATTTTTGGGAAAAATATATTTTTAATTTTTTAATTTAAATTAAAATTTTTTAAATTTTAATAAACAATATTGTTAATTTATTATTACTATTAAAACATTGAATATTTGTAACGTAGCTTTAAATCTTGGTTGCCCAAATTTTTTCTTTTTTCTTTATTTTTTGTGTTATTTTTACTTTTATTAGAATTATTAATTTATTTTTGTAACGTAGGTTTGTAAAGTTGACTGTGTTGTAATTGAGAATAATATCGCAAACTGAACAACGATAGAGAATAGTAGAAACATAATTGAGTAAACTACTTAAATACTGAAATACTAAAATATTGAACAAATATTATTTATCACTGCTTTTGGAATAAAAATAGTTAATTACTGAAAGGACAAACACGAAAAGTAATTAATTAACATTCGGTTAAATATCACGGAAAAATAGTACAGAACTAAAGTAAAGTTGGGGTAACCTTTTGGATAAGGTCTAATGACAGGGTTTTCAGATTGTGCAATCTCCCCAATATGACAACGATCCCTTACGTAGCCGGAGTCAAAAAAAAAGGAAGAAAGAACTACTTCATAAGTGGACAAAGTGTAGCAATTTAATACTCTTAAAAAATTACCTGTGAACATGGCGGACAAAATACTCCAACTAATTTTACAAAACTATTAATTCCTCTTAATAATCCAGGTAAATCAATTTGGGATAAAATATTTGTTAAACCGCCTAAACCTCCTCCGCTGCTTCCACTACTTCCACTTCCACCTCCAGATCCAAGCTGCTTAAATAATGTTTAAATATAATCAATAAAAATAATATAAGCACAGTCAAAACTTAAAGAAATAATGACGAAAAATTGCTGAAACAAAAAGGATATTTATTTGGGAAGGCGCTAACATAGTGTGACTTTTAATATAATCCTAGTTCAACAAGGTTAAAATTATACTCGCCACTTACTTACTAAAAAATAACTTAAATAAATACACATAAGTATATTATAAAATAGATATAAAACAGTCTTAAACTGCTTATTTTTAACGTACACATAATAGAGATGTTTCTTGACAAACAAAGAGTTCAAGTCTCTGGCCCGTATAGAAAAATTGAGAATACAATAGCATTCAAAAGTTTCATCTTGATAATTTGAGAGATAGACCAGTCTTACCTGTCTATCAGGTAGGAGAGATACCAATACGTCTCCGAACTTCTGTTTTACAGTTACCATCGTAAGTTATACTAGACCTAAGACAGAAAAAACTGTCCACTATCTGGTATTCCTGCAACTTGTTAGTCAGTTGAGTAGTGTGAAATTTGTCGACCACCATTATTTTTGTCTTAGACTTATTGATTTTCAGACTAACTATTGCTTTCGTACTCAACTCTTCGCGGCAGATTAAACATTTTTTGCTCATTTACTACTATAAGTGTTGTGTCATCAGTAAATCTTAAATGGAAAATTATCCTACCAGCCACTGTTACTCCACCGGCACATCCATCTAAGCCATCCTCAGGACATGTTCACTATAAATGTTGAATAAGTCAGGTGACAACACGCATCCTTGTCTAACACCTCTCTCGGTCTTGAATTGGTTTGAGAACTTTTGATCTAGTCATACTGTTGCTATATTGGACTGGTACAGACCTTTAATAAGTGCCACCAGGTGCATTGGTGAGCCCATTTTTATTAAAATTACAGAATAAACATTTCTTGCTCATTTGCAATTTTTTGACTTGTTATTCTTGAATTTATCATAATTCCTCCATAACGATACTTAGTCTTATCCACTATACTGTAGAGCCTTTTGTTCTTTAGATTCTTCTTCATGATCTAATTTAAGTGCAATATTGTCAGGACATGTAAATAATTTAAGTGTGTTTGATAATTTTCTTTTTACTAAGATCAAGTTTTTTTTTCTCTTTCAGACTTTATGTTATGGTCATAGTTTATTTAATTAATTTCTACCTTAAAAATGTTATAGGTCTTATGCTCCAAAGAATAAATATTTTGTATCCAAAGTTATGAAGTAACTTGCATTACATTAAAGTAATTTTATAATCATGACTTCCAGTATGGTGATCCAACTTGTGGAAATAATAATCGAACGAAGAAAAGAAATTATAATTTATTAAGTAATTTTTTTGTTTACAAAATACGAAAAATTCAGCATTGAGTTTGTCTCACAAATGAAGGAGTGTATGCAGTTTATTACGATAAATAATTTCTTTGTCTACATAAATGATTTGATCTTTTCTTGCATTAAAAAGTTTCTTTTTTCGTCAATTATGTTATAAACCGCATCGTGAATAATATTATGCACGTTGCCAAATATGTTATGCAACTACCGTACATGCTTTACTTCTACGAACAGACCACAAATATGTAAATACCTGAACAGTTAAAAGGAAAAATCCGGTATTGGATAACTAATTCAGATTTTTTTTTATTATAGTTACGTAACAATTTACACCAATTACTCTACGAGAATATTCCAACGAAAACGAACTTTTGAAATAATGGTTGTTTAATTATGATTTAATCAGAAATTTATAAAATTGTTGACTTAAACAAAAATACCAATTTGGCAATATACAATTTTAGGAATTCTTTTTGTCCATTTATTTTAGACATAAGTAGATGTTTTATTTTACATAGATAATGAATTATTTGAATTGTATTGTCATATATCGATTTTATATTAAGAACGTAAATTTAAGAGAATTAGCTTAAAAGCTTTTTATAGAAAAAAATTAATTTATTATAATATTTTGTTGTGAATTTCTCTAATTAATAATTTTACTGATAAGTTACAATACATGAGTATCGCAAATCGGTCTCATAGACTATTGGAAATGCTCCTACAATATTCACTTTCGCTGCAACTTTATATTTAGTTACTTTAGTATGAAACCAATACCAAAAAAAACTCTGTTACTCCACAGTTTGTGAATCCAAATACCGACAGCGGCACCTGATTCAAGTAGCAGAACGTGTTAAGGCAAATTACTAGCAATACGTTTTTGTGGACAAGATCCCTTAAAAGAATGCCCCAATTTCGCCAAACACCCAAATAACTGGCAGGTAAAACAAAGTAAGTTATGACCTGACATGGCATATAAAGGAATTTCTGGTTCGAAGGAAATTGTTTATATAGAAGTTAGAAGGCACAAAGGTTACAGCCATCTTCTGCTCTATACGTATCTAATGTGATCAAATTAAAAAATTCACAGGACTATCATTGACGCAAGACACTCTAGTAGCATTATTAATTCGCGAAGTATGAGAGGAGCTGACAGCGATAGCGATTACTTTCTGTTGAAATCTAAGTTAAGAACGCGATTATCAATACAGAATCAGAAATAAAGAACTGGATTCTCAAGTGACAATAAGCAATAGATTCCAATTGCTGGGACAGGAAGAGCATAATGTAGAGTTAGAACAAGCATGACAGCAAGGGACATTAGTTATAGAACAAGCAGTCAAGGAAACCATTCGAAAATGGAGGACTCGCCCAAAAGGAAATGGTTTGACAAAGCATGCAAAGAAATTCTGGAAATAACAACGAAAAAATGATTGAACATGCTACAACACCCCACACATGAGAACAAAGCAGATTTTAACAGAACAAGGGTACAAACAACGCGACTATTCAGAACTAAAAAGAGGAGCTACCTAGAACAGATACTTATTTGTTTTCTTTCGCTACTTCTGTAAATCCGGGAAATTTACAGAAGTGGCGAAAGAAAACAAATAAGGAAATTCTTTAGTGAAGTGAAGTCAGTCAGAAAAAGTGCAAGTATTGGAGTAACACACGCTATGAGAAATGAAGCAGGTGAACTTTAATCATAGTAACGGAAATCATCGAACGATGAAAGAAATACTTTTAAACTTTACTTAATATTAAAAGTGAGACGGAGGAATCAGATATTACGTTTCATTCTGCAGATATCAAAATACCAGCACTAACACTTGAGAAAGTAGAGAATGCGACGCGTCTCTAAAAAACCATGAAGCACCAGAAAATGATGGCATAAATGGAGAGTTGTTAAAAAAGGAGGAAACCTTTTACACCAAAAATTGTATGACAGCATTCTGAGAGTATGGCAACAACAAAAAATACCTAGAGAATGGAATGGAAGCGTTATAATTCCTATATGTAAGAAAGTAAATAAATAACAATTCCGAAACTGTAAAGGCATATCGCTTATTAGCACATCATATAAAGTGCTATCAATTATCTTGCTAAAGAGACATATTCGGAAGATATTCTAGGCGACTACCAATGCGGCTTTCGTGCTGGAAGGTTAACTATAGATCAGATATTTACCATCCGACAAATATTAGAGAAAAACTGGGAATTCAACTGCGATGTGCACTAAATTTTTATAGATTTTCAGCAAGCGTATGGTTTCATAAAAAGAATGTAAGAAATTGGAATACCAAGAAAATAAGTTTAATTAACGCAAATGTGCGCAACAGAGTCATATGCGGAAGTAAAGATAGAAAGCCAAACATCGATGCCATTTTGTATATTTTTAGGACTTAGGCAAGGGGTCCCTTGTCACCGTTGCTGTTCAATTTTGCTTTAGAATATGCAAAGTATGCAAGTAAAATATCGTCTGAGCTGACAGGAGGATGTGCTGATCAAGGATCAAAACTGTTGCTGGTCTTCGCTGATGATACAGATGCAGTCTCACATTCTACAACAGACGTGAAAGAGGTGTTTTTACATCTGGAGAAGGAAACGGGTAGTCTGGGTCTCCGAATAAATGAAGAAAAGACGAAATACATGGTAGTAACTCAAAATCCAAGACCAAAATTTAGACAGAACATCAGTATTAATGATCACAACTTCGAAGTAGTAAAGGAGTTTAAATACCTGGGGGCGATAATCACAGCTGACAACCACATAGAACAGAAGGTCTTGGCAAAGATAGCTACGGGAAATAGAGCATTATACTCCCTTTCAACATTGGTCTAAGCTGATAAAAAGAAAATACAAATTAACACTGTACAAGTCGATTATTCGCCCAATTATTACATATGGCAGTGAAACACGGACTCTCAACCAGCGGGAAATCAATTCTTATTCTTCAAGTTCCATTCCTATCGGAGATTGGAAATCATTCTGGCAATTATAATTTTATTGGTTACTCGCCTGAATAGTTCAATTGAACTGCATCCAAACCATTCACGGAGATTGCGTAGCCACGAGATTTTACGTCTTCCTACGCTTCTTCTACCTTTGATTTTACCCTGCATTATATTCCTTAGTAGTTCGTAGTTTTCACCTCTCATGATGTGCCCCAAGTATTACAATTTCCTGATTTTTATGGATTTTTATGGAAGAATATGAAATGGAAATTTAAAACTTCGCATTGTTTTCCTAGTTGTTCGAGAACTTGTTCGTTTGTTTTGCGATCCATCCATGATATTTTCAAACACTTCCATGTGGTAACACCTCATTTCGAATGCTTCTAGGTTTTTATTGTTGGATTTTTTAAGTGTCCAAGCTTCAACTCCATACAAAAGGGTAGAGAAAATATAACATCGAAGCATTCTTATCCGGAGCGATATATTGATATCGCGATTACAAAAAATTTTTCTCATTCTATTAAAAGTTTTTGTCTAATCAGTATCTTCTGTGGTCCATACTCCAAGGTATTTGTACGAAGATATTTGTTCAATTTGTTATTTGTTGTTTGTTTGGAAAATCAATAAGCTTCTAGTATTCAAAAGAAATGTTAGAATAATATTTGGCCGTTAATGACATGAATATT